ACAACTTAATAAGAATTAGAAGCAAATGAAACCTGAAACTACAAATGTAAAATATTATGGTATTGCTTCTAATTCTAGTTCATCTCCTTAAGAAACATTATACCATGGAAAAGTAACTTACCAATTTATAAACACAAATCTATCTTTGTGCCCCTTCCTAAGAGTTCTTAGCATCAATATATCACTGAAAGACAAAATCTATGCTTTTCCTTAGCTCGACCAGTATCTGTAAGCAGTTTCTGAAGATGAAAAACAGACTCTACAGGGTCTTCAGAAAAATCCACTTTCTCATGTAGACTCTTCTCACACTTCATAAATACAGTGTCTTCATTGTACGCAACAGACAGCAAAGAAGTCTTGTACTCTGTTTGCACTGCACTACACAGAGATACCTCAGGTACATCAATTAATACTATAGCAGTTTTCTCATAAATTTTATAGATATCCTATACCAGGAAATCCAGTTCTCAGTAAAAAATCCTAAAATGGTATTGCTGGCAATGAAGATGAAGTAAACAGGATTTCAAGAATTTCAATTTACAAATGGTCCTCTTTATCTTTTAAGTTCAGTTCAGTATGTACCACCATATTAGCATACATTATCAACACATGTGTCTTCATGCCAACAACAAAATTGTTTCTATATGTATTTTAAACAATAAAAAACAAAATAATGTATAAATGTAAACACGCTAAAACAAAGTGATTATTCAAAAGGTTAAAAATAAAAAAAAGTGACCAATTGTGAGGCAATCACAAATAAAAAGAAACCATTTCAGAAAAGACAGAATTTTACTCACAATAAAAAAAATCATAGTTACTTAAGAAGCAGAGTGGTAGCAACATTCAAGTAAGAGACATACAAAAAGAAATAGTCTGATTAATGACACATAAATAACAGGCAAATTTAAAATAGCTTAATTCTCAGTCCAACATAGCTCATGTACCCAAAAATTCTTAAACAAATGGTCAGTAAGGTAGATCTTATGGATGAAAGAATAAACTCTACATCAAAATAAGAAAAAAGGCTGCCTCCTTTTCAAGTGCACATAAAACATTCAGGAAAACAAACCACATAATTTACTAGTAAGAAAGCCACAATAAGTTTCAAATATCAGAAATGGCACAAAAATGATTCCTTGGCTATAATACACAGAATAACATAAAAAGAGACCTTTCCATATAGGAATTAAAAATTTTAGATAAGGACAGCTGCTTGCACCTGACATTCCATGTCAAGAGCCAGTTCGAGTCCTGGCTGCTCCACTTCCAATCCAGCATCTCTCTCTCTCTCTCTCTCTCTCTCTCTCTCTCTCTCTCTCTCTCCTACTTCCAACACCCCTCTCTGTCGCTCTGGCTTTTAAGTATATAATTAAATGAATCTTAACAAAAATTATAGATTTAAAGACAAGCTAAACTTACAGAAATGAGGAAAACTTTTACATATCAGAAGTTATGGGCTAAGAATTGCTCAAAGGAAAATTCCTATATTTAAGTACTTATATCAACAAGAATGAAAAAGATTTTAGAAAATGAATTAACATTTTACTTAAATATGACAAAAAGGCAACACAATAAACAGAAGAAAATGAGAAAAAACAGGCACGATTATGTATTAGAAATGCAAAATAGCACAATCCACATAAAGGGAGTTTGGCATTACTTTCCTAAGTTACTGATATCTGTTAGTCCAATAATACAGTTTGTAGGAAATTATCCTAAGATATACCTGATCAAGTATGAAATTATCTAGGTGTCAGGATATCTGCAGTAGCAACATAGAAGGCTGGAAACAATTTAAGACCCACCAAAACACACCACCGAAATAAACTCCGATCCATCCACACAAAAGAATATTTTACAGCCATGGAAAAAGAATGGATTTCATATTATGAAATCTATAATATGTTGCTAAGTGAAAAATAAGCAAGATTGGGAATGGTATTCAATGTATGCTACATTTTTTATGACAGAAGGATTAGCACATACATAAAGGCACTTCAGAAAGTGTGGGGAATTAAATGACACTCATTTTGGTGCAAAACAGTTTTGAAGTTTTTTCATTAGATCAGTCTTCAAGTGATTCATGGAAAATGTATATTATGAACCAACTATGCATTAATTTCAAAATTGTGCCAAAATAGATTTAAGTTTTAATTCAATTTTTATAAACTTTTTGAAGTATGCTCATACATATACACTCTTAGATATATATATATATGTCTAAATATAAATATTCAACTTGAATGTCATACAAAGCATCTGTATATAAAAGTAATAGGCAAAAAGAATAAAAAAGAATAGGGACAGAAGCATAATCACTTTGAATAGATTTTTCTTAACTAATTCTCATTGTGAAATCATATCTGCTTTAAAAATTAAAAATAAACTGAATCAAATGAGAAAAGTGAACTAACTGTATATCAACTTCATAATATAATCACAAAGATAAAAATACCTCAAATAATTTTAGATACACTACTTTAATTGTATCTTTCTGGGGATATAATACAAGGACAAAAAGAAATCAAAACAAGTTTTAAAATTAAATCAGTAAGTTTTCTTGTTAGTAATAATACTGGCATTGTTTTGAAGCTATATTATGATCAAAAGATAACAAAGAGTTATGTAAATATGTTGGCATAAAGTTTGTAAAGGAAGAGAAAGAGAACAAAACTGTAAAGTTTAAATAAGTAAGCAGGAATCAGAGATATCAATATTTGATATCTCCAATTCAAATTCATGGAATAGTACAATTTAAGTATCAAAAATAATGAGGTATCTGATAGAAATAATCTCAATATTAAAATATGGGTCATAGAATACAAAGACAAAGAGAGAGGTTAGGGAAGAGAAATACAAAAAAAAAAAAAAAAAGTAAAGGAAAACAAAAATACATCACTGGAAGTAACTTGAGTTACTAGGACTGTATTCCGAAAATTTACCAATACAAAAGGAAGCATGCATCCCTATTTTCCTCTACAAATTATTTTAGGATAACCAAACAGTTGCAATTAATTAAACAATCTCATCTGAAAAGATGTAAAGGAAATGATCAAATTAGAAAACTCACTTTGCATATCCCTATTGCATTAACTGATTCAGGTCAAACTGATAAATAGATGATAAATTAGACAAAGGGTGATGGAGCATTTTATAATGGAGTGTTTTCACCATCACTAGCTGTATCCAATACTGAACAATATCATCATTACAAGTAAACTGACAAACACTGTATGACTGCTAATGTAATGCAGTATGAAGCACAGAGTGTCAGCTATCAAGAATTTCTGCTAGAGCAATGGATTTGAATCTAATTAAGCCTTTTAAGCACATTACCACTTATAGGAAATAGAGGGCTTTATGAAACAATTTTGATGACAAAAAATATAAAGGGACAAAGCTAGAATGTAGGGTAATCTGTAAAACAAACAACAGAGGTTATGCAACAAATCAATGGCCCCCCAAAATTACGAATACTAGATTATGGCTTATCATTTATATAAAAAAGTAATAATTATTAATTTTATTAGGTGCCATAGCGCACTGTGCTCAAGTTAGAAAGGACCATATTATTAAAAACTGTCTCCTAAAGAATGAAGGGATAGAGTTATGTAGTTTTTGGATTTGCTTTAAAAAGGAAAAAAAAAATCAAAACCAAAAAAAATAAAGATTAAGCAACATTGAATATAAATAATGGTTATTTGGAGTTTCCAACATATTATTATACTTTTGTAAACATTTTATATTTTCTACAATGAAAAAAGAAACAAAACTAATTTCAAAAAGTCTTAAGTAGAATCACATCTACACACAAAGCGTAGGCTTACTTCTGTTCCCCAATCTACTCCCATCCCACTCCCTGATATTTCAGTCAAGATCAGATTTCCAAATAATTATAGGATAAATAAGGTGGATATGACAGTATCCTTTGGAGGTACAAACATTTAATCCATTTGCATTATATCATAGTACACTTTCTTTTAACCAAGTTCCTACTTTTTACAAGGCTTAATTCTTCATTAACCATCATTAATATCCTACCAAGACTATTAAGAATCTCACGCCAAAGTTAATAGTAAAAAAAAATATATAAAAAAAATAAAAAGACAGGATCTTAAACCAGATATTAATCAACACAAATAGATTTCTATTTTAGGATTATCTTACTAGAAACGTGGTAGAAAAAAATTTGAAGGTGATTTTCAGTGTATTGAAGAGGAATGCTAGGAGATAAGAAGTGATAACAAGAACAGAGCACTCTCCAAACCAAAGGGTAAGAGCACTGAGGCAAACACTCCAATGTGAAGTAAAAGAAAACTTTGTTTTTCAAAAGCTTAAGATGAAGGGAATGACAGTAGGAATAATTTGTCACAGGCTGACGATAAATGATAGAGATGATTCTAGAAGGAACTGTTTGGAATATTTAGAGAAAAATGAAATGAGACGTTTTAATATCCAAATTATATGGATTATAAAACATAAGGAAGGAAGTAGATCTAGACACATGGACATGCATGTACAGGGATGGAGGGACTGAGAAATTCTGGAAGATGAACCCTTTCAGGTGGTGGTACTCACAGTCTCACCTAAAGGATAGGTTAGTGTGGGTGATGTATGCATGCAACTGATGAAAGGGTTCACCAGGAAACAGCTGTGAGAATTCCTAAGAAAAGTAGCAGCATAAAATCCATAAACAGCACCCAATCAGGGTTGTATATTCCCCAGCAGAGCTTAGCTTAGTACTGGTTATTGGTAAAGGGATGGAAAAGTAAATATACTAACTTAACAGGACACTAAGAACTATCCATTTGTCAGTGGTGTGAATATACTCTTTTTACATATATTAAGAATATGTTTGCTTTCCTAATTTTGATAAAAGATCAATTAAGTATAACATAAATATGAAAATGAATATTAGCTGATTCCTAAAAAGGAATATATGAAAGAATGTACAATGTTAAAAAATGTCTAAATTAATAAAATTCTACCATTCTCACCAATTCGAGTGATTTTATTATGAGAAACTTCAAGATTTTGAATATTAGTGCAGCCATCCAAACCATGAAAAGAAGTCAGTTGATTTTTATTAAGAAGAACAACACAGAGATTTTCCAGATTTTCACAGTTGATGGTTTCAATATGGTTTTCCTAAAGCAAGGAGCAAATATGATTAGCTTAATTTCAATGGCTTATTAAAGAAATATTTAAAATTTGCAAAAGGAGGAAGGACAAGATCTGATCTCCAAGAGAATATATGAATCTCAATCTTTTGTGATAACCATACAAGCTATATACTATCTAAATAAAAATATTAAGTGATTTAAAAGAATTCATTAATTTTCATATTCTTTAACATTCTTATAGGACAATATAATAAAATATTTCAAACAATGTAAATGAACAAGAAAGAATATTTTGCCAATCTTGATTCTACCATCGAGAATGGGAATGACTACTGTAGTCAACCAAGCCCTCTCTCACCACGGGATCTGGGTATAGTGGTATAGGGGAAGAAAGAGAACCTTTCATTTTACCTTGTAGAGACCTAAGTTGAGAGAACTCAATGAGTAGACATACCCAAGAAATTGCACCTGAAGAACTTCATCTCAACTGGACCTGATTTATATAGGAACAGATCCCATGCTTCAAGACTGAGCTTGACGCAGTTAAGTGCGGGAGACTTTGGGGTCATTGGGATGTGAATGTATTTTGCATGTGGGAAGGATGTAAATCATAAGGAGCCAAGAAGTGGATGGTAACAGTCTGTTACTTTGCCATTATCCAATAAATCTTACAATCCAATATTCACACGTCCACACAATTCTTCCATGAGAACTCAAGTCTTGGCCAGTGAAACATTAGCCAACAGGATGCCAGCAGATGCTTGATAAGCACTTGCATACTGGAGCTTGTCTTTTTGGAACACTAACTCTTGGGATTCAGCCACACTCGAAAGAAGACCATGATAACCACAAGAGCTGAATCACCCGGATGTCAGTGGTACCTGACATAAAAGATAGATGATTTTGGACAGTACAGTCTAGTCTGACTTCGATTACATAAGAGATCCAGTCAAGACAAACTGCATCCTGCCAGGCCTGGCTTCCAGTCACAGTCCACAGGACCACGAGCAAATAAGAGCATTGCTGTTTTGAACTACTAAGTAAAGTAGTCATTGATTAATACAGAAAAAAGTAACAAAAGCAATGCCAATATCACCTGCAAAAACATGAATAATTTCTATGTCATACCACCTGACTGACTTCCATGTCTGGTTCTCACAAATTTAGGTCCTTGATGTAAACATGAATCTGTTTTATATTTTGTTATAAGATAAATTGAATAGAGAACATACCTGTGCATCAATATACTTAAGTTTATGGCAGTTACCCAGGCCATGCAAAGAAGTTAATCCACAGCGTCGAAGAGATAGAAACTGAAGGTTTGTACACTCTGCTAATGGGGAGAGATTACAACCTGGCAAATCTTGAAATGTCACTGTTGTAACCTAGAGAATTCAAGAAAATTAGATGGATAACATTGACAATGATAGTAAATATAAACTATATTAGCCTTGCAAAATTTGTAGAGAACTTTAAATGATGCTACATGTTGAAATTCACCTTTATTAACAACAGAATTTGAGTGAAGCTATCTTCACTCTAATGTTTTTCCCACTTAGAAAGACAAAATAACACAATCATACATGACCAGTTCAAGTTCAGAAGGAAAATATATCAAAGCAATAAGGCAGTCATGTATTAGCTAACTCCCTGAATTTTTCACCAAATTTTTAAAAAATATTTATTTATTTGAAAGGCAGAATTACAGAGAAAAAGAGAGATAGAGACATACCAAATTTTTAAAAAATTTATTTATTTGAAAGGCAGAGTCACAGAGAGAGAGGGAGAGACAGAGACAGAGATGAGGGAATTGATCTTCATCCATTGGTTCATTCCCCAATGACTGCAATGTCCAGAGCTAGGCCAATCTGAAGCCAGGAGCAAGGAGATTCTTCAGGGTCTCTCACATGGGTACAGAGGCCCAAGCACTTGGGCCATCCTCTGCTGCTCTCCCATGCACATTAGCAGGGAGCTGGTTTGGAAGTGGAGCAGCTGGGACTCGAATCGGCACCCATATGGGATGCTAGTACCACAGCCAGTGGCTTTATCTGCTACCCCACAGAGCCAGTCCCTTGCCAAGTTCTTTTTCTTGTTTTTTTTTTTTTTTCATGTCCTTGGACTCATATTTAGGATTAACTACATAAATGTTTATGATCTGCATTTGGTAGATCCCTGAATAGTACCAGGGACCACAAAGATCAGGGAATAGATTGTGTTTCTAACCTGCCATATTTCAACTAGACGGACTCAGCTATCTTGCAAAAACAGAAGAAAGTATGCGAAGAGATATTATGAAACCTATAAGTAGAAACAACCAATAATAATTGAGCCATGCAATATATATCTCCTTCTACAACAGGTGTTCTTTCTTATCAAGGTCTGAATCATTCCTTGCTACTGAATTTATAATATACCCAGAGCATACAGAATTTGTGGAATCACGAATAATATTTCGTCCTCCATATTTGAAATAGTTTGAAAGTCATACATATACATTTATTTTTAATACATTGCTATGTACTCAGCACATCACATAGTGTTTTCTTTTTCAAAAATTTTACTTATTTTTATTTGAAGGAGAGAGAGAGAGAGGGAGAGAGAGAGAAATATTTTCCATCTATTAGTTCACTCCCCAAAAACCTACCAACAGCTGGGGCTGGGTCATGCCAAAGTCAGCAGCCAGGAATTCAATCTGGTCTCCCACATGGGTGAACAAAACCCAAGTCCTTGAGCTATCATTTGCTGCCTCCCAGGTTATACATTAGCAGGAAGCTGGAACTGGAAGAAGCCAGGACACAAACCTAGGCACTACGACATGGGATGCACTACATCATAGCTTCCATCACGCTTTTAACTTTCATATGGCACATTCACATGTATGTTTCATTTTTATATAATATATTTAATGTTGTAAAGAAAAAAGTTTGAAACAGTTACTTTGAGTAGTAGTGAGATTACAGGGTTCTTTAGAGCACTGCAATGGATCAGCACCAATACCACCAATGGAGGTGTGGCAAAAAGGAAGAAAATTAGGTCATGTTGAATCAGAATCAATATTTTAACAAATCCACTGGTTATCCATATGCACATTATAGTTTGTCAAGAGTAGGCAGAGGGGCCGGCGCCGTGGCGCAGTAGGTTAATTCTCCACCTGCTGCACTGGCATCCCATATGGGTGCCAGTTCTAGTCCTGGCTGCCCCTCTTCCAGTCCAGCTCTCTGCTATGGCCTGGGAAAGCAGTAGAAGGTGGCCCAAGTGCTTGGGCCCCTGCAACCGCATGGGAGACTGGGAAGAAGCACCTGGCTCTTGGCTTTGGATTGGCGCAGCTTTGGCCCTTGGAGCCATCTGAGGAGTGAACCAATGGAAGGAAGACCTTTCTCTCTCTCTCTCTCTAACTCTATCTGTCAAATAAATAAATAAAATCTTAAAAAAAAAAGAGTAGGCAAAAGAAGTGCCAGTGTTGTAGCACAGCGGGTAATGCCTGTGGTGCCAGCATCTCATACAGCCACCGGTTCAAGCCCTGCTGCTGTATTTTCGATATGGCTCTTTGCTAATGACCTGGGAAAAGCAATAGAAGATGGCCCAAGTGTTTAGGCATCTGCCTCCCATGTTGGAGACCCAGAAGTTGTTCCTGGCTCCTGGGTACAGCCTGGCCCTACCCTGGCCATTGTGGTCCTTTAGCAGCATAACACTAGAATACCTGCTGTAGAGTATTCCAACTGCCATACTGAAGAATTTCTAGTGTACTCAAAGGAGGCATCCTATTGGCTGCACATTTCACAGGTCTCCTTCTTTTAACAATTTTCTTCTGTTGATTCTGACTGAAGATTTTGCACCAAGGTTTACATGATTTCATCCAAGCTAGTCTCTTTTCTTCAATAGAAGACAGAAGTGTTGACTCTGGTACAGAGCTGACATTTTCATACTCAGCTGCATTTTTATTACACTGGTTTGGAATTTCTTTAACCTCAGCTTTCTGAGAGCCAACTTCTTTAGAAACTAAGGAACTTCCTACATTATAGCCACACAAATTTTCACAAGGAGTATGTCTTCCCACAATGTAATCTTGCTTGTCTGTTTTGCCTTCTGTATTTCTCATGGCATCAGTGGCATTAAAAATGACAAAGTCACTATTCAGAGCATTGCCTTCTGGACTGTCCTCAATTTCTTTGGATTTTAAATCAGTTTGTTTTTGTTGCACGTGTAAATTTTTCCTTGTATCTTCAGACTTTTCCAATTTTGATAACAATTTTTCTTTCATTGAAATTAGTGAAGTATTATTCTCTTCATGTAATGATTCATTGTGTTTTGGTACCTCTTCATTTTCTACTTTTTGTGCCTCTCTCTGTTGGTCACCTGTGATTATTTTCTGCACTTCCGTGTTTTTTACCTCATTAATTCCTATACTATGTCCAACTATTATTACTTGGATTTCATCTCCCACATTCTTATTTACGTCATGTCTGACATTTTTCTCTTTTTGTATTTGAGAATTTAATTCTTGCATCTGAAACTGTTCTTTCACATTTTCTTTTGGACCTGGGTTTTCCAGTCCAGTATTTTTATTTATATTTTCATATTCTCTTTCTTGCTTGCCCAATTTTTCTGAACACTGTATTTTTGTTGGGTTTGTATTTTCTCCTTCCATTTTTAATTCTGACAAAATTGTTTGGTTTGATATGGGTTGCACTAATTCTTTCACTATTAGATGTGTATCTACATTTTCTGTTTTATTTGATTCCTCAAGAGGAATACCTTCTTGCTTCAAATTTTCATCCATAATCTTTAAGGCTGTATCACACATATTCTTTGACTTATCTTCAACAGTTAGATATTTATCAATAGAATTTTCTTTCTTTAAGGTACTACTTATTATTAGTTGTTGTTTTGCATCTTCTGTTAATCTTAATTTTTCCTTGTTTCGCAGTTCCTCTCTTTCTTGTCTCAGAATGTTCTTTTTTTCTTCATAGTCTTTTTCTCTCCTTTTCTTTTCTTCTTGTTTCTGTCTTTTTATCTCTTCTTCTACCCTTTCCTCCTCTTCTAATCGTTTTTGCCTTTCTGCCTCCATTTGTCGTATTTTTGCTTCCATTTCTTTCCATTCTTGTGCTTTCTTTTTCCTGCTTTCTAGTTGTGCTTTTATGATCGGGCCATATTTTTGGTATGCTACAAATGCTTTATATTTAGCTTGAATTTTTATGGCTGCATCATTCTGTAGTTTTAACAAACGTATTTTTTCTGTTTCCTGTAAGTCTTTAAGTCTTGTTCTTTCCTCTTCCATTTGTAAATGCAAGCTTCTAATAAATTCCTAAAATGACATAAGATTTGCAGTCAGCATAAACCAAATGTGTGATTTTATGAAAATACCATGTAATATACAGATGGAAAACAAACACTTAAACTGAAGTTATACTGACATATATGAAGTCACTTATTTTAAAAGGTATTATTTTTAAAAGATATTTAGGAAATTGGACCACACTGGCAAGTTGATACTCTAATATTGTGGATATACATAATCATCTAGATATAAATTGAGGAATTTTCCTTGAAGACAGTATATGAAATTAAAATGGCACAGAAAAAAAGGCAAGGGAAACCACAGGTCATAAGTCACCTAGGAGAAAAGTAGACTTCAAAATTTTGGAAATGGGAGTTCTGATAAAAAATACTTGGAGAAAGCACTAAGACTACAGAAGTACAGAATTATGACATTAAGAAGGCCAGGTAGCTCACACATTCAAGCAAAAGGAAGAACCCACTTACTCATGCATATTTTCTCTTCCCAACTATCAGAAAAGTTGCCAAACACATAATGTATTAAGTGAGCTGATCTGTAGTTAGAGAAAAATTCTTGTCACTAGAGTCCTAAAACAATAGTAAGCTGATAAAAAGAACTCAGCAAATATTTAAGGATAACTAACAAAAGATGTGAGAAGGTACATACATTAAATAGAAGCAAGAATCAACATCTAAGAAATAGGAACTATTAAACTAGAGAAGAGCTTCAATAAAGTAAAAATTTTATAAGGAATGATTTATATGAATTACTTCATGTAAAAGTAATCACAAAAAGAATTTAAACTTAAAAAAATTTCTCCTTCAAACAAAGTCAAAATGGAATGCATGATAGCTGAATAAATATATATATATATAAATAAAAAACTTCAAAATGACGTGTTTTCTCTAAACAGTATATAAAATAGCAAAAATATGAAATATTTGTTAAAGTATAAAGAAGTTAACCATAGAAACTCCTATAAATGACAAATAAGAGTTCCAGAATAAAGACCTGAGAAAAACTGAAAGAAAAAAATAGAAAAATAAATTTTCTAAACACAACAAAAAAAGTCATAAGATAAAGGGCTGAGTTAGCTTTATAACACACACACACACACATACACTCATACATACAAACACTTAGATGCAGGTAATATGTCAAAATCCTAAAGAATATAAATTCCATACAATCTGGGATTATTTTCTAATTTCATTTTTGTACCTTAGGCATTTAAAGAATTTCTGGACACATTAAAAATAGTTAACATATGAACATATAAAGTGAAAAATTCTAAAGTTTCAAAACAATGTAAGAAATAAACATAAAGTCTGCAATAATAAACACCATAGGAAAAATATACATTTAATGCAACCATTTTTCAATTGTAAAAAGTAAGTAGTAAAAGAATTTACCCCACAAATAAACCACATAGTTTCTATGGTTAGTAAAAACAATTTCTTTTTTGTATCTTTAATGTTTTATTCTTTATAATTACATTTTTGGGTTTAACAATATTTAATATTTTGCTATATTCAGTTCACACAAAGATACTATATGCATATGCATACATACTAATTTTCCTAAGACAATATTCATATCACATAGTTTATTCACAAAAGGTACAAAAAAATGGGATAAATGTAACCAAGCGCATGAAAGGTCTTCAAAATAAAAATTGCAAAACAATAATGAAAGAAATAGCTAAAAATATTTTTAGCATTGAAAACACAGAGAAAGTTTACCAACTAAAATATTTTTGATAAGCATTGTAAGTATTTAAGCCTGATGCTTCACATGCCTAATCATTTTTAATTTAAACATATATAATGGGAAGTTATTTTTCAAGATTTTTATAAAAATAAGGAAAATATTTGAAGGAAATACAAAGAAGGATAATAATGCTTAGATGGATAGCTGGATGTGAGAAGTTTATCAACTGTATGCAATATATTAATTTTACATAAAACTGTGGAATGAATCAAATTTAAACATAATAATTAATGTATCTTTTTTTTTTATTTTTTGACAGGCAGAGTGGATAGTGAGAGAGAGAGACAGAGAGAAAGGTCTTCCTTTGCCATTGGTTCACCCTCCAATGGCCACCGCGGCTGGTGTGCTGCCGCTGGCGCACCACGCTGATCCGAAGGCAGGAACCAGGTGCTTCTCTTGGTTTCCCATGGGGTGCAGGGCCCAAGGACTTGGGCCATCCTCCACTGCACTCCCTGGCCACAGCAGAGAGCTAGCCTGGAAGAGGGGCAACCGGGACAGAATCCGGCGTCCCAACGGACCGGGACTAGAACCCGGCGTGCCGGCGCTGCTAGGTGGAGGATTAGCCTAGTGAGCCGCGGCGTCGGCCTAATGTATCCTAATAATCTTAAATGGGGTTATTAAACAATCAGTTGAGTGTGCTCAAGAAATATACTAATCTTTTCTAATACTCTTCAGACATAGTAAAATAATCATAATCGTACCTTTTCTCAAATCTTTTTTTAAAATTTTTATTTATTTACTTGACAGGCAGAGTTACAGACAGTGAGAGAGAGACAGAGAGAAGGATCTTCCCTCCGTTGGTTCACTCCCCAAGTGGACCCAAATCTTTACAGAAATTTTGGAGTTATAGTTTCATATAGATATACTCACTGAACAAATTAATTTTAATTTTCTGAAAATTGTATTCAAAGTTTTTGATGATTAATAAATTTAAATGTTGTAGTAAAATAAATCCTACATCAGCTAGACAATATAATTTCAATTCCCATTTCAAACATAGTAGTTTGTTTCAAATGCAGAAAGATAATGTAATGATTAAAAACAACAAATAGATACCTCATGCTGTTGAAGCTTTTCTTTCCATATTTTCTCTTCTTTATGGAGTTCATCATTTATCTTGTTCTGTTCTTCCTAAAGATTGATAACATAAAATACTATATTCTAATATCAAAGAATATTTTGTTCATTAAACTTGATTCTCACAGTATATATTTGTAAACAACAGTTAAAGATGACAATTTATGCAAATGTACTCAGTTACTAGGACTAGGATAACAAACTTAATTTTACAGTAAGATATTGAATAGATGACACCTTGGGTTCTAATTCTGAGGATGTAAATATGTTGCAATCTGGAAAAGACTGGAAGGATTAATATCATCAAAATGTCCATAATACCGAAAGCAATTTACAGATTCAATGTGATCTCAGAGAGTTGTTCTCAGACCTAGGAAAAACAATGAGAACATTCATATGGAAACACAGGAGACCTGCATAGTTAAAGAAAGCTTAAGCAACTAAAACAAAGCTGAAGGCATTACAATACCAGATTTCAAGACATATCACAGGGCAGTTATAATCAAAACAGCCTGGTACTGGCACAAAAATAGACACGCAGACCAATGAAACAGAATAGAAATTCCAGAAATCAATTCACACATCTACAACCAGCTAATAGATCTCCACATGTAGAAGAAACAAGACTCCTATCTTATACCTTACACAAAAATCAACGCAAAATTGATCAATTATCTAAATCTGCAACCCAATACCATCAAATTACTAGAGGAGAACACTGGGGAAACTGCAAGATATTGGAATAGGCAAAGACTTCTTGGAAAAGACACTAGGAGCAAAGGCAATCAAAGCCAAAACGACAAGTGGGATTACAATAAACTGAGAAGATTCTTCACTGCAAAGGAAACACAGCAAATTGAAGAGGCAACCAACAGAATGAGAGAAAATATTTGAAAAATAGGAAAGTTATGAAACTGATAGAGGATTAACATCCTGAATCTATAAAGAATTCAAGAAACTCAACAAAAACAAAACAAACAATACAGTAAAGCAATGGGCAAAGGACATGAAAAGGCATTTTTCAAAACAGGAAATTCAAATGGTCAACAGACACATGAAAAATGCTCAGGATCACTAGCCATCAGGGAAATGTAAATCAAAGTCACAATCAGGTTTCACCTCATCCCAGTTAGAATGGTTACCACTAAAAAGGGGACAGCAAAATTAGCTCCATAGTAATTAGAATATAGTTATTTTTAATTTGTTTACTTTCTATATATTCCATTAATTAAATGTAGTCAACATGGAGGGACAGAGTATCCTGAACTGCCTAACTGACCACAGCTAATATTCTCTAAATGGAACCCTTAAAGCCCGCATGTTCTAGATACTACATAAAGCAAACCTAACAATGAAAACTGGAGAGGGTCAGTCCTGCCCATTATCCAGACATTTTAAGTTCTTGATGATCCATAAACAGAATCCTAAAACCCACCAGTTTCTCAAAATGCCCATAGTATGATCTAACTACATCGACACGCTGGGGAAAAGAAAAATAGAAAAAATAAAAAAACACATAGCAGATATAAAAACAAATGTAAAACTCAACATCAAAAAGCTCCCAGTGTAAGGGACACTGATTATCATCTAGACGGCTCAACAAATGCATTATGTTTTACATAATGCATCTTACGCCAGACTACAGAGCAAGGGCACTGCATTATCAAGAACACTGTATGCCTTTTCCTATGATTAGAAGGGTAAGGCCGGCGCCGCGGCTCAATAGGCTAATCCTCCGCCTTGCAGCGCCGGCACACCGGGTTCTAGTCCCGGTCGGTCGGGAAGCCGGATTCTGTCCCGGTTGCCCCTCTTCCAGGACAGCTCTCTGCTATGGCCAGGGAGTGCAGTAGAGGATGGCCCAAGTGCTTGAGCCCTGCACCCGAGAAGCACCTGGTTCCTGGCTTCGGATCAGCGCGATGCGCCGGCCGCAGCGCGCCAGCCGTGGCGGCCATGGGAGGGTGAACCAACAGCAAAAGGAAGACATTTCTCTTTGTCTCTCTCTCTCCCTGTCCACTCTGCCTGTCAAAAAAATAAAAATAAAAAAAAAAAAAGAAGGGTATACAAAACAGCAATGGCATACTTGCAAATTTCAAACAATCTGGGATGATCCTTGAAACTTCATAGACTGGGCTTTCAAGACCAAGTATCTGGAATTTCAAAAAGTTCAGAGTAACTACTGTCAACTCACAGTCAGCTGCTTCCAGTAATTAAAAGCCAAGGGGCGGGGGGGATCGATTCACACCATAACCTAACCCAAACATTAACACTCTTCAGAGGCAGTTACTGATTCAAAATATATATGAAAAACAAAAGAAAAATGGCATACCTTCTGAATGTTCTCTAATTTCTTTTTCTCAATTTCAAATTGTTTCATCCAGCAATGTCTCTTTTCTTCTTCTTCTTGAAATTGCTTTTCTTCTCTCTCTCTCTGAGCTTTGAGAATTTCTTTTTCTTTGTCCTCAAGTTCTTTCTGTTTATCTCGCCAAGCCTCAAATGATTGTCTGCACCTTTCTTCCACTTCACAATACCCAAAATTTATATCACCATCATCTGTATTCATGAGAAGAAATGTTATTAGTCTTAAGATCAAATCTGTCAAAAAGAATTCAACTTAAAGTATAAAAGTAATTGTGAAGTGAAGAAATAATGCCAGCATATTATCAAAGTAAAAATGCTAATATACAAAAAGAATATATGTTCTTGAATATACATAGAAATTCTATTGTAGTCAATAATTATATCACATACTTGCTCTAAAATATTCCACAAAACTTAAAAATGTGCTTGTGTGTATAATTAAGGAATAGTTAAGGAATATAGTTAAAACATACTTCATAAATTCAGGGTTAATTATATCTATTACAGTCAGCTGTTCCAGTGGAAAACTTTGAAGCATATTTAAATTAAGTTATAGAACTTTAAATTAAATAATATAGAATATAAAGAAAATTAGAGGTGCTGGCGCTGTAGCATAGTAGGCAAAGCCACCGCCTGCAGTGCCAGCATCCCATACACTGGTTAGAGTTCCAGCTATTCATCTTCAGATGAATAGGGAAAGCAGTGGAAGATGATCCAAGTGCTTGGGCTCCTGCGCCCATGTGGGAGACCCAGAAGAGACTCTTGGCTCCCGGTTTTTGTGTGGCCCAGTGGTAGCCATTTGGGGAGTGAAACAGTGGAAGGAAGATCTCAGTCTGTCTCTCCCTCTCTCTGTGTCAGCTCTTAAATTTGCCTTTCAAAAATATAAAATAAATCTTAAAAAGAAGAAAATTAGAGAACATGTAAATTAACAAATAGAGGCATCATTTTCAAATACAAGTGTGTTCTGCTAAATTCAAAAATATCTTTCAAATTGTTTTCTGATAACTATGGTCAATCACATAAAATTATCAAAAATGTAACTGATCAGTTTCACTGACCTTGTGCAATACGTTCATCCATAGGCAAATCATGAGGATGAGGCTCAAGAACAGAACCAGGACTGGAACAATGGGCTTTACTTCTCAAAAATTCTTCCTTTTCTATTTCAGATAATATCTAAACATTTAAAAGAGCACCAATGATTAGAGAATAGAGGGGAAACTACCATTTTAATAATACTTTGCATACTTATACAGAGCATTTATTTACTCCAAGCCTTTCGCATACATAAATCCACAGCATACTGATAAATATTCTCTCTACAATGAATAAAAGATTTCCCCATGCAAGAAAAACATATTTACCTTCATATTTTCAAAATTCAAATCGGTCTTTAATATTAACCCATAATATCCAATTAAACTGCTTGATAATAATTTCAAAATGTTCCCACTAATGTTTGTAACTAATACATTTCCATTTTTCCTATCTCTAGTGACTGTTGCATGTAAATTATTAATATACTCAATATGATTAAATAGATAACTGTTTTGTACTTTAACCTGAATTATGCATATGATTTTGACCTATATTTTTCCATAATTATATTTATACCTTTCCTAGTAGTAAAGCAATAGTATACTAATTCCAATATTGTAACAGTATAATAATTTAAAAATACATTTTCAAGATTGAGTGTTGCCAAAAAAAAAAAGAGGAAAGAGACCTAAGTAATTTTGAAATTATGTAAAACATCTTAGGGAATAGGAAATGGGTTAGGTAAAAGGAAAGAAAACTAGGTAAAAGGAGAAGTAAAAATTAATATGATAAATGAATCTGTAGATGATACTTCCTTCTAACCCAATAAAATGCAAAATTCTCCTCTACTCTTAGTTTCTAAGCATGTTTTTCTTTGATCTGTTTTATTAAAAATTACTATAAGATTTCTTATGATGGAAGGTTCTATAAAGCATGGAAAGTCTCTTCTGGAACATAGTACAGTCCTAAGAAATGTAATAAATATTTGAGTATATTCATTGTTCTTCTCAAAGTTTTTAGGGCAACTATTTAATGCAATATTGATCTACTCTTTATTTATATGTGCATAAAATCCTCATGTATTAATGGATTAAATCACCATTTTTACTTTAAAGATTTATGTATTTATTTGAGAGGCAGAGGAGAGACAGAGAGAGAGAGTTTTCCATCCACTGGTTTACTCCCTAGATGGCTGCAATGGCTGGAGCTAAACCATCTGAAGCCAGGAGCCAGGAGCTTTTTCTGGATCTCTCACATAGGTGCAGGGGCCCAAGCATTTAGGTCATCTTCCACTGCTTTCCCAGGCCGTTATCAGGGAGCTAGATTGAAAGTGATACAGCTGGAAATCAAACCAGTACCCAGATGGCATGCCAGTGCCAAAGGCAGAGGCCTAACCTACTATGCCACAGCCCTGGCCCCTAAATCTCTTTTAATATTCTACACTTAATCTTAGTCAAAAGGCTGAGAAGTGAATAATATTCTTAAAGATTAAAATTTGACTGGTTGTACAGTATAAAGCCAGAGTAAAACATAAAACCAAAATGATTTGCTTAAAATAGTTAATATTTTGATTAATGAATTTAGAATCAGTGAATTTTCACCCTACGTAAGAGGGAAAGACAAATTTATGACTGTAATATTGAGTACTTTCAGTCAAATGTTGAATATTTACCTTCATTAATTGATCCGGATTTTCTTTATTTTCAGTTGAAACTCCTATCTTTAAATATCTATGATTATTAGCAACTCCTCCATAATTACAGCCTAGAGGATGAAAAACATAATAATATTAATATAAGAATAGGATATCATATTTAAAAATATCAATTTTTTAATCATTCTTTAATGTCAAATTCCATCACAGAATATTCTTGATAGGTACGAGTAACTCAAAACATAAAGATAACAAAGAATAAAGAACAGAATGTTGTCTTTATTCTAAAAATAAAAGTAACAAATGTATTAAGTACTTTATCATTTTCATATTCTAGACTGAAGTTTACTTTCTACGCATACAGCATCAGGCCTTGCTTGATATCACAATTGCAAGTTGGCTAGAAATCAGGAAAGGCTCAATCAATCTGCCACAAACTAGCTACACAATCTTGTACAAAATATTAAAAATTTTAGTGAAAATATTAAAAAGTAGGTGTTTAGCCTACTGGTTAAAATGCCTACATCCCACACCGGAATGCCTGGGTCCAATTCCTCGTTCTGGCTCTTAACTCCATCTCCCTACCAATGCAGAGGAGGCAGCAGTGACAGCTCAAGTAACTGCGTTCCTGCCACCCATTTGGAAGATCTGAATTGTCTTTCTAGCTCCTAGTTCTGGCTCTAGACCAATCCAGGTCATTATGGGAATTTGGGGAGTGAACCAGACGGGAGCTAAGTATATTTGTGGTGTGTTTATGTGTGTGTGTGTGTGTGTGTGTGTGACTATCTCCCCCTATGTTTCCCTGCCTCCCAAATAAATAAAAACTAATATAAAAATATTACTTAAAATGTTACAATTACCAATATGTGATTGAAGTGGAATTTATTCCTTATTGTAAGGTTTGTTAAATTATACCATTATTATTATAATTCTGCTATCTAAACAGTTACAGTTATGTTTCTTTGTGTTATTTAATGGTAAAATACAGAAGACTATCCTGCTGGTTAACTGACTATTCACACCTAATTTTCCTGAGATAGTAGATTTTCTTCTTAACTCTTATTTACAATCTTTCTGGCATGATTTCCTGTGTGAGAGGCTGAATAAAAAGAAAAATAACATTATTCAGATTGCTTTTCAACTAGATTTCTAAGACTTATTTATGCTCTACCCATTAATACATGTATTTGAATATATCTTTATTTCTAAATATTATATACAAAGAGAGCAGTTATATTTCTGG